GTTTTTGTAGAAGATATTACCATTACAGATATAAGTATCATCATGACATTGATTGAAAAATATTTGAAAATTACGATAATTTTTTACGAAACAGAGAACAAGTTAAACACTGATAATAACCCATTAAAAAACGTTAAATAATCAACGAATGCATAAGAGAGTTAAACTGATGTATAATTCTCTCGTAGATGTGGTATCTTTTATTGTTCGCGCTGTTTGTGGTGGCAAATGGCCAGGAATTCAAAACAATTCACGCGTGGAGTAATGTCGAGTACAATTTCCCGAATGACAGTATTCGAGATACATTAGTATCTAAGGGTGATTATATTCCGGAAAATAATATGCCCCTCGGTATGCACGTTTGGGGGGACAAGGTATTCATTACTGTACCACGATGGAAAAATGGTGTCGCGTCAAATTTGAATTATTTTTCAAAGAACGACCAGTCACGTACGTAAATTCAATACGAAGTTCCTGCAATTACTACAATATCAATAATATTACTTAATTGTTATTTTATTTAATAGAATCTCCAAAATTAAATCCATATCCTGATTGGACGACGAATAATATCGACACGCCTGACGGTATTGTAAATATCTTCCGCGTTAGGTCCGACGCTTGCAATCGATTATGGGGTGTCGATACAGGCGTCGACGATATCTTAGGCAATTCTACTGTCGTGAGACCCCCCAGGATAATTGTCATTGATTTAAAAACAGATAAAGTAACAAATTAATTTTTTTTACAAATATATTTATTTAATATTACAATATTCTTTGTTAATTATAATATTGCTTCAGATACTTCGTATTTATCCTTTAAAAGATTCCGACCAAACGGCTAATTCCTTCTTCGCCGAATTAGTAGTCGACGCTGATCCAAATAATTGTGAGAACGCATATGCTTACATTACTGATTTGAGTGCATATGGTTTAGTAGTCTACAGTTGGGCTGATAACGACTCGTGGCGTATAACGCACAACTTCTTCCACTTCGATCCTCTGAACGGTGACTGAATAAAATTACAAATCTAATCATTAAAATGGACAATTTGACAAAAATGAAAATAAATAAAAATTCATTTACTTATCGATTTCAGGAGACTTTAATGTCAGTGGACACAACTTCCAGTGGACAGACGGAGTATTTGGGCTGTCTCTGTCCGAACCGCAACCGGATGGCTATAAAACTTTGTACTTCCATGCAATGTCTGGTATTACTGAGTTCGCGGTATCAACTGAGGTTTTGCAGGATAAAACGTTAAAGAAGTCTGCCGATTATTATGCTTTCCGCGTCGTGGGTAACAAAGGCCCGAAAACTCAAGGCCCGACTTCATTGATCGATGCGAGAACTGGTATCAATTATTTTATTCAAGTGAACAAAAACGGCATCGCCTGTTGGGACACCAGTGTTGCATTGAGTCCAGATACCTTCGGTAAGAAATAATTAATATTTCAAAATAGTAATTAAAAATAAGCAGGAATCGTACAGTTTTAACAATAAGAATTATATAAATAAATATCTAAATAATTACCTTTATTTCTTGCATGTTATATCTGCAATCTTGTTTGTGTGCAAAGTAGTTGACGAGCTTTTGTTTCATCAAGGATTTAATTATGATTCTAATCACTGGTAGCTATTAACGATGTACGATTGTACTCGTCGATTTCCAGATAAATATTTAAAATGGCTATCGCAAATTGCCTCTTATCATGATTTCCTACCGCATCGATTGAATCTTGCGCAACAAAATTCTAGGAAACCTTAACTTTGCATAGAGCAGGAACAGTACATTGATCAATTATTATCTCGTTTTTTTTTTTCAGTTCTTGCGGCTCAAGACAATACAACGTTAGTCTTTCCTAACGACCTGTCCATTGATCCGACCACCAACAAGTTATATGTACTATCTGACAATTTACCGCAATTTATATTTTCCAACTACGACAAGGAACAATGCAATTTCTTCATCACGACTGCCAATCTCGATTCGTTAACGTCAATTTGTAAAAAATAGAATTCTAACGTTATGTAATTTTAAATATTCACTAAATTCTGTAGTAACCGAAGACATTTGAATAAGCAGTCAGGAGACATTAGCATATCACTTAAGGGAACAGGTTTGCTTTCTCTGTATCTCTTTAGTTTTATTTATTCACAGCTGTTATACAAAAGAATATTCAGGACGATTACATTGGATATGAGAATATCGCATAAAATATATGTTATAATTAACGTTAATGTCAACTGTATTATGGTTAATCTCCTTTACGTCTAAGCTTGCAGTCAATCACGCCAAAATACACAACTCCGTACGATACGTTTTATATTTACAAGTAATCTTGTTGAAACAATACTTCGTGAGTACCTCGAGTATGTATCATTTAAGAGAAATGACGAAAATTATGCAGTAATCGCAGGAATATTATGATCAAATGAATAATGGAAAGGAATATTGTCTTTAATTATAAATAAAATTTTTGTAACATGCCTTGGTCCCAATCTCACGTTTCATCATGATAAGGGAACAGGTTTGCTTTCTCTGTATCTCTTTAGTTTTATTTATTCACAGCTGTTATACAAAAGAATATTCAGGACGATTACATTGGATATGAGAATATCGCATAAAATATATGTTATAATTAACGTTAATGTCAACTGTATTATGGTTAATCTCCTTTACGTCTAAGCTTGCAGTCAATCACGCCAAAATACACAACTCCGTACGATACGTTTTATATTTACAAGTAATCTTGTTGAAACAATACTTCGTGAGTACCTCGAGTATGTATCATTTAAGAGAAATGACGAAAATTATGCAGTAATCGCAGGAATATTATGATCAAATGAATAATGGAAAGGAATATTGTCTTTAATTATAAATAAAATTTTTGTAACATGCCTTGGTCCCAATCTCACGTTTCATCATGCGCCTAATATAAAAATGTGATAAGACATATGGTACATCTTTGGAGATATCGTAATCACAGCAGAGTACACATTTTCGACTGAAAATAAGATGCGTTCGTTTTTCATCGATTTATGAACAATTTCAAATAAAGTAAATGCAAAAATATTTACCTTCTGTTTATGACTCGTAGTACCGTTCGTTTTGGTATCATTTTCTATTGCTTCCGATTTCTTTTCTCTACTATTTTTGAAGATCTTTGACATTTTACCTGTGCAATAAATAAATATTTAACTGTTATACAACCCGCTGGTAATTACATTTAATTACCCAATTAGATTACGTTTTCCTTACTTGTCCTCGGTGGTGGCGATTGCACAACATCAGCATCATCCTGAACGTTATCATTGTTCATCTCCTTCTCCTCGATAATCTGTTCTTTATCATCCTGTTTGTCAATTTCTATTATTTCCTCGTTTTCAATTTTCGATCTCATTGACTTGGAGCTTCCGCTCTTTGTCGACACCGACTCCTCCTTTTTCTTTGAACCATTCTCTTCTTTTCTTTCTGATCCCTTATCCGTTTTAGCTTCGTTTTCTGCATCAACGTCTGCGTTCTTTTCTTCCATAGAAGGCGATCTCTCATTTGATGAATTTCCACTGCCAGGTTTCAGCCTCGGTGGTTTCGGTGGTGGCGTAGAAATCGTAGGAGACGTTTGCTTTTCAGAACTCTTTTCTTCTTTTACGTTGTCTTCTTTATTCGTCTCCATCTGTTCTTTCATCAATTCCGATTTATCGTCATTGCTAATTTCTTTACTGTCTACTGCATCTTCGCTTTTTGCAGTATTAGTTTCATTAGTAATTTGTTCATCCATCTCTGCATTATTTTCTATAGCTTTTTCATTAGTTTCATTATTGTTCTCATGGTCATTTTTGTTATTCTTTGAATCGGACTCCTTTTCTTTCTGGACGTTGTTTTCCTTATCTACTTCCATTTCCGATTTGTCATTGTCATCCTTATTTTCGCTTTGCACCTGCGACTCTTGACTCGTCTCTGCACTACCCGGCATTTCTTTTGGTGCCGTTTCATCCTTCATTTCGTTTGACACTGTGTCTAATGATTCTTTTTCAGGCGAAACTTTAGTGCAGTCTTCCTTATTTTCTTTAGTATTTTCTTCACTTTTCTCAGTACTGTTCATAGGATCTGTCACGTTATTTATTACATTATCTTTATTATTTGCGATTTCTTCTAATTTCTCGGATGCTTTTTCCATTATCGATTGTGAATCATTTGCAGGCTCCATATTTTTCATTTCTGGATTTAATTGATCTTTAATTATTTGATTGACCGTTTCATTGCGCGTTTCACTTTGCAGCCTGCTTAGAGGAAGTTTCAACGGTGGTAATGAATTTTTTCGTTTCTGCATGTGTTCCTAAAACGTAAACGAATTTTGCAATATTCTTTAGGCATTAAACCTCAAGAATTGAGACCAATTTTTATTTAAATTTGTAAATACCACTTGCGAGTTATCCATTCCTGTTTCACGTCTTTGGCCGACTAAAATTGTATGGCAACCACCGCAGGCAACCTTTACAAACAGGAAAATTGCTAATGAATTGAAAGTATATTTAACACTAGATCGCCGGAGCGAGTCAATTTGACTCATTATTTAAGACTCGAAATTCAAGTTTCATGCAAAAGAAAGAAAAGTAAAGGCGCCTGTGCTAAATGTAATAAAAAAATCTGCGGAAAATGTATTTTAAAAGCAGGATATATATGAAAAAATTGTTTTGAATAAAGTCTCCTTAAAATAAAATTATATTTTTTTAAAGAACTTCAATTTTGAGACTTGAGTCATATTGACTCATGTATATTCCCAACATCCGTCAATCTATAAGTGTTAAGTATAAAGTAGAAAAAATATTTTGATCTAATTACGTTTGACACAAAAAGTTCGTTATATCTTTGAACGAGAGTGAACTCGTGGACGTTGTTCTCGTTTTCTTCTAAGCCCAATTTCCCGTGTCTTCCGTCGCCACATGTGAAGAGCTTCCCGGTATCTATCATAAAAAAAATTAGATTCATTAAGGAAGATTATTTCGCGTACTAAAATTCATGCTAGAATTTACCAGTAACGATAGCAGTGTGACTTTCGCCGCAAGAAATCCGAGTGACCTTTTCATCTTGTATGGCGCCGCGCGGAAGAAGTTTCGGCGTATGAAGTTCAGTGACGTTCGTCCCTAAGCCAAGCTGACCGCTGGAGTTGCTGCCGGAGCAGTACAAATTTCCATTATCTGAAAAGTACCGTCGAATGACATCGTTCAACGTATTTAGCGCGGCCGTAAAACAGCATACCTGCTAAAATTACGGTATGATGACCGCCACAGGCTACGTGCACGGCAGGACTCGGTAACTGCATTTGCTTAGGTGCGACTTGGGTTGAAAAGTTGACATCGATCCCCAGTTTCCCACTTTCCGACTCGCCGCAAACGTACACGAGACCGCTTTCTAGAAATCCATTTAAAAGCTCGAGGGAAAATTCTTAGAGGATCGTAATAAATTCCAGTAAAAGCCACAAATGAATTGTTATTATTATAGGATCGTTTCACGGTTTGGGTTGTTACCTGTCAGAAACGTGGAATGGTAATAACCGGTGCTAATCTGTTTTACGGGCTCGGGTATGTGCACTTTTGTTGGTTTGTTCACTAATCCCGGCACATCCGGGAGGCCTAATTGACCTTCGAGATTACTGCCCCACGCGAAAACGCCACCGTCGTTGGTGAGAGCGAGCGAGTGATGAGAACCGGCAGCGATTTGAACGATCTTCGAACCAGCTAATCCTGCATCGTACACTAATACGGGAGTGTTTACGGAATCACCGATTGCGGAAGTTCCTCGACCAAGCTGTCCTTCCTGGTCACTACCGCAGGCATAAATCTTTTGCGCTCCTAAAACATTATCACTTCCGCGCTTAACCGTGACGTTTACTAAACTAGTCAGTACTTAATATTTCACAATTGAGTACAATAGGTCAACATTATAATAATTAAAATATTTCTACATAATATTAAAAAAATTATGATTGAAATAGAAAAATAGAATGTTTTCGAGCTTGATTTAACAGCACACATTAATAGTAAAAGAAGAGATCACCTTCGATAGGGATTCTAAGATTGATAGAGTATCAGACTAATTCGGTATGAAAAATAACGATATCATGTAAAGTGCTATAACATAGTTGCTAGCTAGTATTAGATAGAGATCTTTCGAGTGAAAAATGCAGTCCCGACATGCGCCCTTGTTAAAAACGTAACTGATAATTCTTGTTCTCTAAAAAGCGCAGTAATCTAGTAAATCTTAGAGAGTAATTTGAAGATTTAGTAAAAAAGTATATCTGCAATAAATAGTCCTGTCCTCTTGGATAGCTTCGAGAAACCTACATTTTTCATAGCAAATTGAATAAAATAATATGTAGAATGATGAAATGTAGAATTGTAAATATTTCTTCTCTGATCAACTGCGATTAAATACTTAAGCCTATTCGTGTTAGGAAGCCTGAAGTTATATTTCCAAGAACAACGTATTTTCCAAATGTGTACATCAATATAAGTTAATCTTATCTAAAAATTTATAATACAAGGGGATCTAATTAATACGCAAGAATTTTCACTAAAATTCCCCTTTGTAATAGACTTACATGTATATTTTTACTCGGGGCTATTCAAGTGAACAGCACTGAATAATAAAAATTACCATTTGCGTGAGCAAATCAAGAGTCTACTAAGGATTTTCAGTGGTATGATTCTTTACGCAGGGTGAGAATAATATTGAGAAGTTGGGCGTAAGTTGAAAGTTGAATGACTGGCGTGACAGAAAAGCTTCGAACATGCAACGTAACGTACATACATAATTACACACAGTATACTATGTAGCCTATATTTATGAGGCATTTGGTATCTGCATACTGGCGTAAACGTAAACGATGTCTTACCTGTGCAAATTAATGTGTGTGCTCGTCCGCATGCAACGTGTGTGACCTTTTCTGGCTTTAAAGCTGAAAACGAGACAATCATAAAACTAGTATTTCCTATAATCGTTTAATAAGAATTATTAATGATTTTTATCTTTTTCTTGAAAACGTATTTGATTTTACTAAAGCATGTTGCGTTTAAAGACGAACCTTTCACACAAGACGGTTTGCTAATATGATTTTTATGACCGAGTCCAAGCTGACCCCAATCGTTGCTCCCGAAGACGAAAAGTCTGCCAGTTTCTAAATAAACAGTATTCACATAATTCATATGACAAACTCTGTGATTCTGCATGCACTTAAAATATTAAAGAATGCAGTAGAATACAACGATGTATTAAAAATATTTATTTAATGTTGTGTTACTCTACTTAATTTTCTTCGTGCCACCGAGCTATCAATAAATTCACGTGACTCATTATAACGGTCTATCTTAAATTATTAGGAAGTAAAAGAGCGATGTTTACGTGCTTAGATAATTTCACGATTAACTAGAACTGTCGATAATAATAGTATTACGTCGACTCGGTTTGCATAGGTATGTTGCAGCTAGAGCATTGCGTGGTCATATCGATTTACTGGACAGTGGCTATCCCTTTATAAGCACGGCTGAGCTGTGACTTCTTCACCTACCTGCCCTATAGAAGCTGTAAATCATAATATCATACATAGTTTCGATCAATTTACACGGATGACAGTAAATTTTTTTTATCCCTACTACATTCATTCTTACAAGAAACTGTGTTTTACAGTATTTTATAAATTGATGATATTATACATTAAAAGCAGTGAAAAATTATTTTCTGAACTTTGAAGAAACAAGTTAGAATAAGAGAGAGGAATAAGGTTGAAAAATATATGTTTTAAAGCTGTAGTCACTATGATAATATTAACATTTTTCCATGGACAATATGAAACGTGTTATTAAGCCGCGTTGTTCCTATTTTTATAATAATAATTATGATTTTGCCACATGTTTAGTATAAATCACGATATCATCATGACGCAAGTAGATACACCGTCTGATAGAGGTAACTTGCCATGCGAATAGCTTAAGGCTGTATAAACTCTTACAAAAAAACAATGACAAAACATTGAAATTTTAACAGTTAGCAGATATTATATTAATAAAACACTGTACAAAATTTTAGAAATTTTGTGAGCCTATTGAGAAAGTTATTACATCTTGGATTCTTATGGTGAATGACAGAATTCTCATATCATTTATAAAAAGATATGAATCGAACAGTGACAAAACTTTGTAATTTTGTATAATTCCTAATACATGATTTAAGAATATTTTAAAGTTGAAATAATGTCAATTTCGAGGATATTATTTAAACTATAATAGATACTTCTTTAATTTATTAAAACTACATAATTCTTATTTTTAAATACGCAAGGTTGACTACGTACATAGATACATTTTCGCGGAATAACAGAACCATTTAAAATGGCAATAAATCATGGCCACGTGCTACTTCGGTATCATTGGGACGTTCGTAGTCATTCACGTGTCCGCTTATTGATTTCCTTTAAAATCAAGTCCAGTCGTATCCGAATCGATAGCGTAACGCATAAGACATTCACTTAACGTTTGACGTGCTCCGTGTAAATTTTCATAGACACGTGAAATTATCTTTACGTTTCAGCCAGTCACGTAGTGTACCTGTGAATAGCATAGCACAAGAAGAAGTCTGACAAAAGGAACTTATTGCGGCGGGCATAGGACGAAGTACATGTACTGGTTCAGATTGTAGCATCGACTGAAGTTATCCTTCTTTTATGATTCATGAGGCGATTAATGGTTTACTGTGCCACGGCTCTGATTGCGACGTTGTATTTTACTGCAATGCTTCTTTCAAGAAAGGAGTACACTTTTCAGAAGTCTAAATAATTAGCTTATCCCAATAAAAATTTTTATTTATTTACAAATGAGACTAAATTACGAATAGGGTAAATAATAATTGCGGGTGGTTTCAATTGACTTACGACAAATTACAGCTGAATGTTCATCTCCGCATGTAATAGATACCACAGGGTCTTTGCGTATGAAAAAATGCGACGCGATGTTATCCGCAAATCTGCTACGTCCGATCGTAAACACCGCGCCCGTTTCTGCAAAATTATATAACGAACATATCGATTATTAAACTCAATTTTCATGGAGCATGTTATAAAAGTTATTCTCTCCTGACATTATTTATTTACGATAAATATGGACTTTTATCGTTTGCTAAAATTAAGGATAACGTATCTACCATCTCGCGGCGCACAGTGTTCGTCAACAAAAAAATTCGCGACGTACTAAATCTCCAATGATTTATTTAAGGAGGTTAATGCGATAACGCGATATCAAGGGACGAATCGGTTCACTCCTTTTTACGTCTGACACGAAACAGCGACGGACGGCCGTGCGAAAATCGTGCGACTAAATAAAAACAGACCGAGATTTCGCTCTAATGCTATAGATACACTCGTCACGATCCACCTACGACGATCTCGAGCATAGATTGTCCATTAACAACAGGGCCAAAAATAATAATGAATATTCATTAGAAATTCTAAGACTCGACGTCGGCTCTTTTAATCAGATAAAAATATCATTACAGCAATAATTTGAATCTAGAAAAGGATTTACACTTAACCCGCAATCTGGATAGTAAACGTGATGTGCAAACGAGATTAAACAGTTTTAGACGTTCGCGTTTAGTTGTTCGAGGAATAAAAATGGTTGTAAGATTTTCCACTCGTTTGACAAAAAGTATTTATTAATAGTTTAATGCATAGAAAATTTGTTTCTCTATTTCAATTTTTGAACAGAAGTTTCTGTAGGAAACAAACGATTTAAAGTTTCGAAATGTAGAACATTTAATGAAGTGAAAGGTTGCTTGAGGAAGCTGCATATCACTAATGGCCAGAGATTAACTGCAGGATGATAATTTCAGTTCCTCCCTCTTAAAGGTCAATAAAGCAGCGACTCGGTGTAAATTCTCTGCGGAGCTCACGTTTATGTTCTTCTTATCAAAAGTTCAAACGTCGCCCCTTTGCATAATGCATCGCGCATTCATCTTTCAGTCAGCTGCATGTTGTTCTTTATCTGCGCCGGCTTTAATTGCCAATTACGGTATTAGGCAACGTTTTTGCGGCCGAAAATTTACGTGTACGAAAATCATTTGAAGCGTGTGAGGAAAAGATTAATATGTTCAGCTAATTGTAAGAATCGTGAGTCAACGCTGTTTCCGAGAACAGTGGTTTATTTAAAAGTGTAAGGAACTCGTAGTTCTCCTCGTGTTAAGTAGTATAAATAACAAACTGTGAGTCACAAATCAAAGCTGTTTTATGATAAAAGATAAGGACAATGAAACAGCAGAATTTGTTATAGTTATCGTCACTGTGCATTCCATTAATTCAAGAGTGCTAAGTATAAAACGTTTGGATAACACTTATTTCTCGAAAATTTGTAAATATAATTTTGTAAAATGTAGGATAATAAAATGCAAGATAATTGTAAGTTAATTATGGAATGAGGCTAACCGGAAGTTCCTTGCAAACTCACAAGGGAAGCAATAAAATTATACTATTTTTTGAAAATTTTATAAGACAAGCGTCCACGTTTGTGTATAGCAACGTCCTACTGGTTTGTCTTTAAATTTTCATTACCGAATCTGAAATCGAGACATACGCGTTTCAGGTCACGTTCAACATCTCCGCCTTCTTAACGATAGCACCTTCTGCAATAGTTTTCGGTGCATAAATACGAACGACTCGGGACGTAACGTGAAATTGTTATCGTAAAACAGAACACGGTGCAAGTTATTGCTGGCTATTGTTCGATGTGGAACACGTCCTTATTTCGGAACGCGACATGCGAGATGGTAAATTCGCTGTGCCGATATCATCGATGCGCTCGTTTTCTAGCCGCTGGAATTGCATCAGGTCGTTAACCCACGAATACTCGCTTTGATACCCGTGAAAACGTGTAAAACGTGCGCGGCCGTGGATCGAATCAATCGGAATAATTCACTCTTTCGTTAACGAGAAGTCAGGATTTACCTATGACATTTGAAATGAGAAACAAGCTACGTAATACGTAATGATCTTATTTTATGTTATAAATTAACTCCTCTTAGACTGTTTCATTCAATTTTACCAACAAGGTTTTGTCTACTAATAACCAGACAGCAAGTGTTTATGCAAAATAAAACATTTACGGTATCATTTAAAAGATGTATTTCAGCTGAACATTCATTTTATTATTAAATCATTGTAATACAGTTTTCGATACTCCGTCATAGTTTTGTATATTACGCTTCTGACAAAGAAAGTTCTTCATTTTTTGCAATATCCACTAAACGATTCTTATAAAATTTCTAATATTCGTTATTAAAACTTGATCGTTCCACAGGCACCGCGTTTATTTAGAACGTTGGAATCCTAAACGAACACTATACCTATAATTAGAAGATTGTTGAAAACTGTGCTGTTGAAACTCTAGAGTAAAGACGTGCAAGACTGTGCATAGAATATTTTACTTAGAAAAGCTACTACGGAAAAGCACACGTATATAATTGACGTTAGAAATTCTTTTGAAGAGGTAGCGTTTATGTATGTTTCGTTCCAATCGTACATCACTCATCGTCCACCTAAATAATCCAAGTCCAAGCTAAATAATCATTAAAGAAAATAGGAAACACTGAAGCGTGGCCAACACACAGTTAGGAAGTTGTTGCAGGAAGTAATTACTCCTCACAACTTTTATAATAACAAGATACGTAATGATAGACTCTTATACTGTAAGAATCAGATGAACGTCCGAAGAATATGTCACTTTAAACTGCAGTTATAAACCTCTTTAAATTCTTTAACTGACTTTTTAACGTGTTACCACTTCTTTAATTCGTTACACGTATTTTATGGCTCAATCGTGTCGTAGAGTAATTTCCATCGTTCGGCGCCCACATATGCGTGAAAACGGTAACATCGCATATAATTACTGATAAATTCTTTTTCTATATGTTTGCGTAACGTTTATGCATAATGGTTCCATCGTTTCATTTTATGATGTATCGCATAGATACACGTAACGTAGTTCTTCGAACGACGCAAAATAAAGAAGACGTGTTTATTTGTTTTATGCAAAGTGTATTAAAAACATAGTAGATATAAATTGTCAGCAGTACGAGTACGATGAATGCAAACAGCTGCGTAATTCTCATAAAATGGGATAACTTTATTTTTAGCAGAATCGTACATTTATGAAGTAAAAAATTCCAAAAAAATTGTTCACTTAAATATTCTTTCATGAGAAATACAAATTTTATATACAAATCAAACGTAATAAATATTATCTTAAGACAAAAACTTAAACGTTCTAAATACGTAGTTGGAGTAAAATTATTTTACACGTTTATTCCTTCTTCAGAATGAAATATCTCAAAGTTTATCGTGTTTCCAATTTAATTCGACGCCGGTTTGCCCTCGTGTGGAACACGTAAATGAAGAACAGCATCCGTTATAAGGAAAATTGTGCCGTTGTTTAAAGCAAGCGTTGATTGATCGAAATTCGTGACAGGTGCATCAAAACGTGCGTGTTTCGTGGAGCGTTTTTACCAGGTATCGTTTCTAACTCCGCCAGGCCCATGGTTGCACGTTGCGCGGCGGAACTTGCAGCCGACTAAACTGCCGGTCAGGCATGGGTATCATGGTGGCAACGTAAAATGAACGTTGCCTGGCAACTGGAAATCAATTTCTAATGGCAACCACGCCGGACGCGTTTCACCAGCGATAAGAACGAGAGCGATCGTTTCCCACCACCATCGTTGTACCTGTACGTGTTGTTGTGTTCTCGCGTTTAAATTAAAAGCGACACGCGCCGCGGTGTCTTCGCGTTTTTTCCTTCGCGTGTAGCCATTTCCGGATGTCATCCAATATTCAGCGTGCGATTCTAACGATGCACTCATGACGTTCGGCAATGAATTTTCCCGTTTTCTCCTGTTAAAGTTGCACTTTATATCATGGAAGGTATATTTATAATGTATTCTGTATCTC